CAAAAGAGACTCCTGATCTAAGCTAATGGATATGTTGCTTTCGAATCAAAGTTATATACAATACTAATAATCGATATTCTAAAATCATATAAAATACTATCGATAACCACAGTGTAATGAAAAGATATAAAATTTGTAATATAGGCTATTTTAAACGGTGCAGATAATTAGAATTGTCTTGACATGTGTGCCTGATAACCCCGATCCCCCGACACAGGGGAACGGGTGATTTCCAGGGAATTTTATTTTTATTTTTGCTAACACCAATGAAAAAAGACGATGTTCTCAAAAACAAAACATCTGATTCGTAAGAATGACGCATTAGCGAGTGATAAGTACTTTAAACAATAGATACATTCAAAATATTGCAATCCAACATATATATTGCACTAACAAGGGAAGGTTAGTGACGTAGAATCAACGATTTCAATAAAACATTTTTTGAGTAATATTAGGTCGAAAAATACTGGACCCATGTTCGACGGTTCTTGCCAATGCTACCAAGAAACAGAGGAAAAAGATATTTTATATAATTTTAACATTTTTTATATTATTATTTTCTGCGGGTATTTCTATGTTCTAATGTACTAAACAATTATTTTTTTTTTACATAGAAAAATAATATTGCTGATTATGTTCAATGTATAGAAAATTACAAAAACTAAAAGATGCTACCAATGAAGTAGGACAAGGAAATTTTTATCATAAAAAAGAAATACAGATTCATTTCTAGCGTTCTATAAAACTCTTAAATATAAATTTGAATTAAAATAAAAAACGCTGCAAATTATTTCACAATGGTTCATTATTTCCAAACAATTATACATCTAAAGTAACATTAACTTCCTAGTGACAAAGAAAAAGAAATAAAAGGTGATTCCCATTAGTGCTAAAAAAATTAGCATTACTTCAGTAATACATTCAAAAATCAAAAATCAAAACAAATGATATAACCTTTGCTGTAGAACATATAAAAAAAATTAGAGACCATATCTTTGATCCTAATTTTTTTTTTTTTTAGGAAATTCCGTAAACTTTTAAATAATCATATACAATATCGAGAAAAAGTGTATACTTTTGAGTTATTCGGAATTTAACCATTCCTCGTAACTGTTTTCTCAGCTTCTTTTTGTTGAAGTATGTTCTATAGATAAATTTAAAGAGCATCGAGAAGCCTTGAGCGAAGTTTCATTGAAATCTGAAATCGTGCATTTGTTTAGGCGCTACAGTCTATAGCAACGCAGGTTTTTCGGTCGCCATCTTGAAAGGAAAAGGCGGATATAAATGTCGATGAAGGAGGATCATCCTCGGCTCCCCCCTCCCCATCCCTTATCCATATCCCTATTCCTCTCCCCCCCTTATTTTACCTTTTATGTTTAATTTTTTATTTTATTTTATATATTTATCATTTAACGAGCGGAGGACCCTCAACTCCAAACACCTTAACTAGACCTTAAGGGGGCAGGAAGAGATAACTTCACAAAATCATTTAACGCACCTTCAAATACCGCAGGGAGAAAGAGGTCAAGGTAATTCAGAGTATCGTTCCGTTAGTACATTGGTACGATATGACACTGATCGCATGTTTTGTCTTGTTTCAGAGGGATCGGAAAAAAAAATATATCATTCTCGGGCCACCTCTAATTTTGCGACTGCGCGAAAATACGGCAGACGGACAAAAAAAAAAATGTATTCGTTTTTCGAATGGTATCCTGAAACGTAAAACCTCAATTTTTTTTTTTGGGGGGGGGGGAGGTTATGTTTTTGAATTTTTGTTCGATCACAATGGTTCATTAGTGAAAATAATAAATCAAAATAGATTTTTTCTCAGTATTCAATAAAGCATAACTCCTCAGGATTTTCTCAAAGTAGATATACGTTTTTCGCTTCTCGCTGATAGCAGTTGAACAATAAATATGTTTTGCTCAATACTTCGGCTACAATTAAAAGTTCTTATAAGATCCATCTGCGTTAATAAATTTATTATAGATATTATACACATAAAACAGTGCAAGTGTGAGCAAAAAATTTTATTTTCTGATTTCCACGAAAATTCTAAGGTTTTTTTTCGAGTTGAAAAAAGCAAAAATATTCTTTATTTACCCCTTTAAAAAAATACTTAATGGGATATTCCCGCGAATTCAGGAGAGGAGAGTATTTAATTATTTTTTTATTTAGGAGTTTCTTCCGTAAAGTTTTCTCAACCAAACTCCTTCTTTAGCAAGTATCTCCATTTCAGCTGGTCCATCCCATCTTCCTCTCCTTCTACTCTCTGCCTACCAATCCATAATTATCTTCCGTATCCTGTTGACGCCCATTCCTCTCACATGGCCATACCATCTAATTCCCTTTTCTTCCATTACTTATAGGATATTTTGCTTTATTTCCAATCTCTCCCTTATAGTGGCGTTTCTTACCCTTTTGATCCTTGAAATCCTAGCAGCTCTCCACCAAAAATCCATTTCAACTGATTTTTATTCAGGAGAGTCTTTATTTATTAATTTATTTTTTTTTAAAGAAACTATAAATAGACTTTTAAGTGGCCTTCAATGAAGAATTACAGATGCTTAATGAGAAAATAAACTGCAAAAAAACAAAAATAATGAAAATAAAGAGAGAAGGGAAGAGGGAAGAACGAATATTTTATTTGAAGAGAGAAGAATTGAAGTACATTAGAAACTAAAAGTATTCTGAGGTCCATCAAAATAAGAATAGACAGATAGATGAAAAAAACTGGCCTGTAAATGCTTCCACACACTGAAAGCAATTTCTTGGGAGAGAGAAACATAAAAGGTAAAGAAAACTGTGTTTAAAAATAAACTTATCCCCATAATAACTTATGCCAGTCAATCTTAGACGATTAATTCAAAGCACAGAAGTCAACTCCAAGCAATGGGAATGCGGTTTCTGAGAACAGAGGAGAGAAAAAAAAATCAGAAACATGAATCAATTTAGGAATAAAACCAGCCGGAAACATAATAGAAGAAAATAGATGATAGCCATGTCAAAAGAATACAGAAGGATATAATAGCCAAAATCACGAGACGAGAGTGGAAGGAAGAAGGCCAAGAGGAAACCCTAGAAATACATGGAGAAGTGTAGTAAGATAGATTTTCGATAGGAGAGGAAATGAGTGGAAAAATCCTTGGGTAGTCAATCTATGAGGACAAAATTCATTGAACATACTTTCCGAACTAAAATCATGTATTCGTTACAAATAAAACTTTTGTATTCCTAATTGAATCAATATAAATTTGTATTTGTCGAAAATTTAATTATTAAGAAAATTGAAATTTAAACTCATATTTCATAAAAATTAACAGTAATATTAATAAAAAGGAAAGCAGTATAGAAATATTCAAATTAATTTAATCTATTTCCGCAACCTTATAATCAACATTATTAGATAGTCCACTCTTTGGCTGAAGTCCCTCATAATCACTTCCTAACTCCAATTTAAATTCCCTTTTATTTCCTTTGTTTTTTTTTTTCAATCTTTTCTACACAGTCTGCAAATATTCCCTCCCATCAAAAATCCATAAAAATGTGCTCCCACAAAATTTTGTTGGAGCGATTTGCAGCATGCAGCTCCTACTAGGCACTGATACATTATATATATATATTATATTTTGTAATTTCCACTCATTAGTTTTTGAAGCAAGAAGAAAAACATTATTCGGTCTTCCTGTTTTCTCAAAACCTCGAGAAGATTAGTGATTTTTATCAATTGTTATCAGGTCTAGAAAATATGGCGGAGCTGACACATTTCTTTAAGATAGATAATTTTCTAACCATTTATCCAATGCTAATTTATTATGTATCTACATTGTCTTTCAAACCTGTATAAGTTTTAATATACAATTCATAATGTTTTCATAAGATTAAAAAAAATTGGTCCCAGAACTTTTGTTTATTTTTTTGAAATAATTAAATAAAAACTGCATAATGCAAAATTTGATTTTTTTTTTTGAAAGAATATAAAAAATATTAGAAAATGAAAAAATAATTGTAGCAATAGGATACCATGAGGGGTATTTTATAAACTATATAAGTGTTGTTTATGTATTTCAAAGGTTTCATCATAACCATTTTTTAAATGCAATTATAACCACCATAAAAATAGTTTAAACCTAAATTAACCCAGTGAAAAAGAAAAATAGTTAACTGAAATATTAAAAGCTGTCTTAAGCAATACCATAAATAGCCTCCGATTTGAATTATAAATGAAGTAATGCAGGAACTATTCGCCAACTGGCGGGACTGAAGGTTTGCTCGCTCAAACTTTCCTCTTCCCTATCCTACAGGGAGAGTTTGAAATTTTACTAGACCACTTTGCAGGCCACCAACTATCTACAAAAAGGATGTTATATTACATTTCTCATATTTTGAAAGTTGTTTTTGTCCTCCTAGACTGGCGATCGGTCCACTGTGAAACATGGTCAGCTGTTGCAAGATACATAGATGAGGCTCTATAAACAGGATCCTCAATTAATGGTAGAAGAGGTCTCAATTAAGAAGAATTTCAAGAACTATAATACTTTTAGGAATATATTTTTTCTTGACTCGTGTTTTCATTTAGAAGCTGTTATGGGTAACTTAAAAGAGAACCACATCTTATTGTTTAAGTATTTCTTTATAAATAATTTTTTTTTTTTATCTATATCTATATCTATTCTATTCTTGCCCGAAATTTGGTATGCAATACATAAATTGGCAGAGCGATGGGAAAACATGTAGCTAATGATGAACAAAATTTAAAATAAAATATCTTTTAACATTTTTATGCAATAAACGTGTATCTTCTATACAAAAATTCCGGTTTTATATTTACACACCTAGCACAGAATTGTTCCTGAAACTTGGAGGAATTCAAACCTAAATAACTAGTGGCTGTGATCTGGAAATTGGGCGGGAATTGGAATTGGACGATGAGGGTTGCCAGATCTTAATACTAAAAAGAGTATATAAAGCTATAGTAGTGTGAGGTATGAAAAAATACATTTGAACATTTACAAATATTTAATAAAAGATATTTTAAACAAAAGAAGTAACAATAAATAATAACATGACATATGTACATCGATGGGGGATTATATAAGTTAGTTTGAAATGGAAATTATTTCTCAGAATTTTCCATTATTTGTATTATAGAATTGAGCATGCCTTTTTGCTCATTACTAAAATATCTCCATAAATCATTCTCTAGATCGTGAACAGCCTCAAGATCTTGACACTGACATGCCATTACAAGCGACTGCAAAAGGAAGAACAGTTCTTCTCCAATCCAAGACACTGCAACATGGTATTTTCTTATTCCATGTAATGCAACAGTAAATAATGAAAATAGAAACAAAATATTCTAAGTTATTTATAAAATATAGTCTGCATTACAGACCTGTATCCCTGAAAATGTCATCAAAATCAGATTAATGGTAGTAGGTGATATGCTCATCACAGGGATTAGACAACAGAAAAACAAAATGACATTAAAACAAATTGTTGCTTGTTATCCAGAACATAGAACACGAGTGGAAATTATTATTTCTGAACACAAATGTCTTTTTAGCATCCTGCAGGAATATAAAGCTTCCCTACCTTTGTAGATGAGACGGCACAAAAAAAAAAAAAAAAAAAAGAGTCTATTTTAGTAAGATATCGGGAGATTAATATTTAAAGCAGTATATGTTGGGCTAGTGTATCTAGTCGATGTATCGGTGTATTATTTATCTAAGAGGGTTTTTAAGAGATTTACTACCCATTAACTAAAGAATTTAAGAAATAAGTAAGCAGAATAGTGAAAAAAACTAAATAAAAATAAAAAAACTTCGATATATCTTATTCAATATAAATAAAATTTAAAAAACTAATGATAAAGTAAATGAAGGATTAATACATTAACTGGAGTGGTTGATTCTTTCTAGTATACTTTTACTATATTTATAAGTTCAAATATTATTTTTCATCATAAATACCTGTCACTGTGTCCGGTTCACCGATCCAGGTATATTTTTCGATAAACTTTTGTAAATCGAGAGGAATATTCTGAGGAGTAGGTTGGAGAATCAAAATTAGCAATACCCTCGATATTTCACACCTATAATAAAGAAACAGAACTATTAAATTGAAGAAACCAAGTCTTGAAAAATATATAATGGTTATAAAAATGTTGGTTCATGATACATTATCTTTCTAAACTATATGTCAGTAGTATTTCTTAAACCATTTCTAATGAGGAACTTATCCCAGCACCTTTTCAATGACGGAGAGTGTCAGGTCTACAATAATTAAAGTGTCTACTGGAGCTATAGAGTCATACAAAAAAAGCCTTCCTCGCCAAAATATTATTTCTAGAAGAGAACCAGGTGCCAATAGTTCCAGACTGGTGACGATTTTGAATCGCTTTCAAGGTTGAGAAAATATTATAAATTTAAGTAGGTGAACAACAATTTTCTATTTTCTAATTTATAAATATTATCCTTTGAAATATAATTTAGTTTTCAAGTTATTTTTGTACTAATAAAATAAATTGATCAATTTGTTGATATGGCCATTTTGCTTAGTGTTGCGGAAAGCTTTTTTAATCCATTTATTTAATTATTTTACAATAACACTTTTAAAGTTGAATAAACTGAATTTTATAATATATGATTCCCATGCAACTAATGTGTATTTAAATTTTATTTAAAATAAATAAAAATTATCATTTTTACTGTTTTAATTCAAATTCTGAAAAAAAAGACAAAAAAAAGCCAGTCACGAGGTAATCAATTTAAGGGTTCCGAGGATGGATGGTGTGAGTTTGGAACAGTTAGATAGTTTGAAATACTTGGGAGCTCAACTCAACAAAACTGAATAAATCGACGAGGGGGTGAGGCAACGAATAGGAATAGTAAGAAGCGTGTTCTGCTCGGTGAGGAGAGACTTTCTAAACCAAAGAGAGATTTCAAAGAATACGAAGATAGTGGTTCCTTCCAATTCTGAGTACTGGGCACTCACTTTAAAGCACTGGAGTCAAATCCAGTACCTGGGAGATGTGATTCTTGGGAAAAGTGGAGAGGAAGACCTGGCAAGACAGGATTCACAACACTAACATCTGCGCCACCCTCAAGGTCAAGCCAGAGGAAACCAATCTAGAAGAAAACAAATTAAGAAGGTTTGGCCACCTTCTATGGATGGTTCTGTGCAGAGTTGCAAGGAAGACAGTAGGTGTATCTTGTAATAACAAGACTCGACAGGCGAGCAGATAGAGAGGAAGGCCCCGAATCTCCTGAGAAGAAAGCTTGCGAGATGCGTTTCAGAGGCGAGGGCTGGAATTGAACAGGAAACGAGAGGTGGAGCAGGAAAGGTCCAATTGGTTCCAGCTCTACAAAAGGTAATCGGGTAATAATAAGGTAACCGGTATAGCACCATGAAATAATAATAATGATATATCACAGAATAGTAATAATAAATATTTTTTAAAAAATAATATGATGAAAATTAAATTTTTTAAAAATATTTGTGTCCCTATTTATTTTGGATGGAGGCACTTCCAATGGAGCTAAAATTTTAATCACATATATGTAAATTTCGATATTTGTCTATGCAAAAAATTATAGTGCATCAAAATAATAAACCCTAATATATGTCAAAAATAGATAAAATAAGTTCACAATGTTTTGATTTTACAAAAAGAAAATTTATTAAATTACTTAGTGACTAAATTTTTGTAAATTGTTACTTTTTTCTTTTTTTATTTATTTATTTAGACACATAATAATCTGTCTCGTAGACAATATTTATAGTGATATATGAACACATTCATACCAATTATTACTACATGACTTTTCGCAATAAACTAATAAAATCTAATTTGTCAGCAAAAATGAAGTTGTAAATGATTATTGGATATTCTATAACACCCACAAGTTCTTAATGAAAAATGGTATGCTAATTTTTGACAGGTATTTTATACTTGTTTTCTTATAAAATACATAATATACTTCATTGTAACTATAAAAAATCGGTCATTGTAACTGACTCAATGAGTGTGCTACTGGCAATCCAAAGCCAAATATCTAAACATGCGCCAATAGTGGATATTTTAGAACTCATTTGGATCAGTAACGGAAACGAACAGGCAGACGTCGCATCCCCAATGCCTCGTACACAACTTAACAATGAGATAAAATCAAATGATTATGTTCCTCGGGAGGACTCGGTGAGGCAAGCGAAACTTCAAATAATCGCTCAATGGAATGAAACATGGAGAAGGAATCCCTCCAAACTTGTTCTGGTTAAACCCAATAGTGCTAAATGGTTTACGAGCAATAGGAGGTCTAGAAGAGAGGAAATTATGCTGTGCCAAAGCCACGGTTACCTTTACCTTCTCCATGGTCGAGAACCACCTACTTGCGTCAGGTGTGGTTCTCTTAGAACTGTGAACCACATACTCGTGGATTGCACACATTATGCAGTTATCCGAAAGAATCTAAACATGCATGAGACTATCAGTGTTGCAGGATGCGAAGAGAGAAGTGGAAATCTTACTGGACTTCTTGAAAACTATTGGATTTTATAATAGAATATGAAAAGTGTGAGTGAGTTGATGATTGCCAATGACCCTAGCGGGTAGAGGCATACAAATAAATAAATAAATGTACTTCGTATCATAAATGAAATAAGAAATAGAATATAACCTGAGCAAAATGTCTTTGTAAACTCCAAAAGGTGATGATGTGATTTTATTTACTACGTTAACTATCGCTGTAAATGCAGTAAGAGCACCGTGGAAATCACCTAAAAAAAATTAATAAAAATAACCATTAAAAAAAATGAACAAAAAAAGTTAGAAATGCAATAACACCACATATATCTTGTTGTCACATATATCAATTTCAAATGTCCTTCACAACATTTTCAACTAACCTATGGTTGATTACAAGTTAAATAAACTGCTATTGGTAATTTGAATTATATTCAAACAAATTATCATCAAGTCATTGAATATTGTTACTTTCACTAACCCAAATACGAAGTAGACAGTAAGTGAAATTGTGAAAAATTCAAAATTGAGATTTTCTATCAGAATACGTATTTTAAAGTTCTTTTAGTCCAAATAACCAAGTCTTACAAAAAGGTCTCTGTGTTGGTATGTGAACAGCATATTTCAAACATGAAAAAACATAAAATATTGAAATTACATATTTAAGTAAAGTATATGTCTAAGGCCGTGGTTACACTGGATCCGTCACGACACGATACGATGGCTCTACTGCTCAACTCAAAAACATATGACTTTCATTCATGTTTTAATGTTTATCATCCATTTAATTGTATTATATTCATCCAATATACATAAAAAATAATAGTTAATTCCTTTCAGGTTGTTTAATAATTAATAAGTATTAATTACGGCATTATTTATTCCATAAATAATCTTAAAGTAATTCAAAATACAGTCGAAAATTACAATAATAGCTATTTTAATTTTATTGTTAACAACAAATATTTATTATTGTCATTTAAATATCTAATATTCTTTCATTATTGGGGAAAAGAAGTTGTGACTTTTTATCGTCATTAGTACGCAAAATATGAAAATTAAAAATATCATCAAACATTGTTAATTTTATTTATTATATATTTTAAATTAAAAAAAAAAGATGAAATATATTTTTTTTATCTAGCTCATATATATCATAGTCACCTTTATTCTATAATATAATTAAATATTATTTGGATTCTGCTTATTACTTTAAGTTATATGTAATTCATATTTAACAAATTAAAAATATCTTATTTTTAATACAATATATATTCTATACTTTATTCCGCAATAATTAAATGTTTAAAAATGTCGAAATAACACCAGATTAGTTAAAAAGATTAATTCACATCGTGTTTCTTCACTTCCTATCAGTCATAAAAAAAATTATTCAAAATCTCCTGAAAAATATTAGTTTTTTTTTCCTATTCATTAATTGCATTTTTGTAGAATTCATATTGATACTATTTAATTAAATATAGTAAATAATTTTGGAAGGATTAATTAAATCCACACCTCTTGTTAACGAAAGGCTTTTTTTTTTCGTTTAATTTAACTATGGTTTCAATATCTTTAGGTTGTCGTTATTTCTTTTGCAATTTATTTCAGCAATTATTGTCATACATTTTAATCCATACATAATATTGTAAATATATCATCAAATTGTTAATTTTAATGCATGGCTATTGAATCAATTTTTAAATTAAAATAAAGGGTTACCAAATGAATTAACATATTAATTCACTAATTTAGTTTTCATTTTTTCTATTCTTGCCTATAAATAAAGAAATTATCCAATATCATTCTGTAAAAAAAAATCTATTAATTGCATTATTTTGAAATTTATATTAAAATTATTTTAATAAAATATATTAAACGAACAGTTCGATAGAAGGGGTGTGGATAGGCAAACCCGCCCAACACGACGTCATGGGAATTTCAAACCGGTTTGTTTCCAAACCGATTTTTCAACACGACGGTCCATAAATATCAGTACTAATTTCATAAAAAATAAAATAAAATTAAAACAGAAAATTAAATACAAGATATTTGATATAGTAAATAACGAACTTAATCGTCGAAAACCAATAAATAAAGGATAATGCAGTAAAGGTATAGGAATAAATATTGCAAGTCAAAATATATTTTATATCAAAAGAAACTGAAGTCATTAAAAAAGTTGAACATAAATAATAATATTAATTTTGAACTTTAAAGCAATATTAATAAAATTAAAGATATAACTAACAAGAAAGAGTTATTATGATAAAAAGTTTATATGATAAACAATTATTTATCTGATTGTTGATTATTTAATTTTTAACATTTAATCAATGACAGATTTAAGTTTCGAAATCTCACAAACACTCCACTACATATAAAACTCCTTTTTAATATTAATTAAGAAAAAATATTTATTTTTTTACATTTCGGCCTAGTTAGGCATTTTGGAATTTCTTATAAAAAAATAAATAAAAATAGAAAATCTTATATCTTCTAAGTATCCCTGATGTAACTTCTTTCACATCTAATGTTACACCGTTTTCATGTTATTAATTTGTGGATATTAGCAAATAATAGTTTTTGACAATCCATATATTTATAATTAATTAGTTGTTAGATATTGCAATATTTTAATATTGTTATTTTTCTTTGCAATGGTTTTTGTTTTGTTTTTCTTTTGATAATTTCCGTTATTATCCCTACTTCCTCCACCCATCAACAATGTCAGCTATCAGTGATTCAATAATAGTGGTCAGTCAATCTATTCAAAACATCAAATTCTCAACCTCGCAAAACAATATTAAAATAAATAAATTTGACAAATAAAGCTTAAATCATCAATTTTGAAATGGAATTGAATAAAATATCTTTAGGGTATTTTGATGCACGGCAACTAATCTACTAATGAATAACATTTCATATAAATTTATAAATGATAATGATAAAAAATCTGAAGGAAATAATAAACAAAATTAAATAATGTCAAAATTTCATGGTGATAAAACAAAAATAACGAAGATAATACATAAAAAAAGCAGAAGTACAGATCAGTTTAAAATAATAATGAAAACAGATATAAAGGACAATGATAATACAGTTAAACTTCATGGAATGCTGATGAAATATCATGAATTAAAATATATACCCAATTTAAATGGAAACTTTTAAAAAGTATATATGTATATTAATTTTATAAAATTTATAAAAATAAAATACATAACCATATAACTAATATTAAAATTACGATTAGAAAACAATATAAAAAAGATGTTATACGTAAAGTAAATTAATTGCAGTAAAACCCATATCCTACCTATCTACATAAAGTGGAATGTATCCATTGCTTGCAAAAATATTATATATCGAAAAATAGAACAGAATATAAACAAATAGACTGAAATAACTTATACATAATGCTAAAATTATACACAGCCGTTTATAACACTAGAAGTAGTGTTAAAAACAACCATAAATCTGACTTTGATAATAAACTATATTAAATAGTGCAGCCAGCAATAGAATTCGAAGGTGATTGGCATTAGCATACGTTACTAGATACATATATAAGGCCTTTAATTGTAGATGATATATTAAAATTATAGTAATAACCATGACCCTAATAATATTTAAAGTATAAGTTTTATTTTTTCTTTGAATTATTAAAACAAAAGTAGAATATTTTTAATGTTCAATTCTATTTAATTACTATTTATTCTATTAAAAGTCGTTGGATATTTTCATTTTTTCATTTCAATTCATTAATGAAATTTATTTGTATTTTTCTGTAATTTTTATACTGAATTTGAATTAGTTTTGGATTTATCTATCGAATAAATAATATTGAAATAAATATTGATTAATTGGAAAACATGAAAAAACAATTTTGATAAAATTTAACTATTATTTAGTACATATATTATATAAGGTTAGAAATAATGAATGAATTAGAAATCCGAGACGTGACGTTGCCATGGTAAGTGCATGTTTTTTGAACATACAGTGCAGAGCCCCTTTTCCGTCGTGTCGTACATTTTACGTGTCCAGTGTAACCACGGCCTAACATGTTAGCAAGTTTTTTTAATAAAATGGACTTATCTGAAGTGCCACTTAATATCATGAATTTTACACATTTTTATATATTTTTTTCAAAAATAGCTATACAAATTTTGATTAAACTGGTCATATTAACATAAAATTATATGGTATTTAATATTTGTTAGCTCTTATAGGAGCTATTGAATCAATTGATACAACTTAAAACAACAATTTTCAAAATGTCTTTCTCTAAAATAATTGTTATGTTATTTACTAGCAATAATTAAAGGCATTGTTAGAAGTATTACAAAATGGACAAGTATCAACTATGAAAGAATTAGATATTTAATTAGAGGAGAAAATGGTAGAAATATTTTCAGGGGTTGGAAAAAGAATCTGGAAATTAGAGTATATACCATTAACATTATAAGTAAGCTCAAGATTTTAAAAAATTAATGTCTAATTTATAATGTAATTGAAGGAATAGTGAGTTACAAATTGTAGTTAATAATGTCTCAACTTATATTATTGAATGGTAAAATAATTTTTTATTTTCTAGATTGATAAACCAAATATATTTTGTGCACAGAATTGTAATAACTTATATTAATTATTTGAAATTTGTATTTATAATTAAGGCAATATTCTCAAGGTTTGAAAATTAAAAAAAAAATAATATTTACAAAAAATGTATGTATAGCACTAGATTTTTTTACTTAACAAATATTTTCATTACCTGTTGCAACTTTTGCCGAAGACAATTTTTTCAGTGCTTGAAGATGTAGATGAGGACAATGGTTCATCAGCAAAACAGCCTTTTCAAAATATAGAACGGCACGATGTGGATCAATTGACTCCATTGCCGTGCCTATTTCTAGGCAGAGGGCAGCAGTCAGTGGGTTCTCATCGCCCCACAGTTTTTCAACTTGGTTAAAGCACGTCATCGCACCCTAGAGGCAATAAATACAATTTGTTAGGAATCAAATTTTGATCCAGTCATTATTATTCACAGGTACAACCTGTATTATAATCTAAATTGTTCCAGCATGTTGACCTACAGTGTAGGTCTTCATTAGGGTGTTTCATATGGCACTTTTTGGCTGGATGCATTCTCCCAACTTCTTCCGGCAATACCAGATGAAATACCCCGATGATGAGTAGCGACGAAATGGCAAATAAAGTGCTTGAGTATGATCGGGAATTAACATCTGATTTAGAATGTGCATAATATGCTACATTATTGGCAAGTAATGTGCAAGCTTCAGTATATAAGTACTACTTTCATAAATGATAGCTCTGGTATAAATAAATATTTAATAATAATTAATCATGCTTAAAAAAATAAAAATACCCACAAAGACAAAAAAAGTTCCCCACCTATTTGTTAAATTATAGACCAGTAAATTCTAAACTGTTTTTGTCACGGCATCCTTATTGGACAACAAATTTTTGTGGCACTCTAATCGGACTAAACGAAATATATGGCACCCTATTAATTTAAATATAGTCATATAAGGAATCCAATTTTCTTTACTTCTCTTCCACACCTTTTATGATAAATTTTTTTTTTTCTCGGTCGGGTTCCACAAGTTCTCCTCCCTCTCCCACCTCCGGAACCATGATTTAAACTTAAAATCTTCAGTTTATCAAGGTTGTTGAATAATGCGTATTTTACACACACGTTAACCTGCTCGGCCACCCTGTCTCCATAAGTGTAACATTCAACTGAGATTTTAACTCGGATTGCTAGATTCGGAGTCCACAATGCTAACCATTACACAATGAAACAAATATTGACGAAAAACATATAGATTTAACAGATTAGATGGATGGTTTGAAACAAATATGTTATACCTTCTCTTCTTCTTCTCTTAGTATCTCCTGTGTACTGCTAAGCGTGGAGCAGCTGCCTCTGACCATCTTGTCCAACGGTCCCTGTCCTGTACAAGTCTTCTCATCTCTAGCATAGTGATTCCTCTCGCTGTGCCAATTCTCTCAATCAAATCTGTATACATAAGCCTTGGCCTGCCTTGAGGACGCCTTCCTCCCGTTCTTGCTTCTAGAAGCCACCTGACCTTAGGGTCATCTTCCATTTTGTTAACATGCCCGTACCACTTCAACTGCCTTTCTTCAATAGTTTCTAGGATGGATCTAACTCCTAGTTCATCTCACACCCTTTCACCCCTTATTCGATCTTGCCTGGTTTTTCCTAATATTTTCCGTAGGAATCTCATTTCTGCAGATACAACCTTGCTGGCATGGCGGTCTAAGAGTGTCCAGTTTTCTGATGAGTATAATAGCACTGGGAAAAAAACTGATGTAAATAGCAGAATCTTCGCTTTTCTACTCAACTCCCGCTTTCCAATGAGTGTCGTGGATATTTGGTAGTATATTCCATTTGGACTCTATTCATGACCTCCTGATCTATTCTTCCATCCTTGCCAATCATTGTTCCCAGGTAGCAGTTATAATCGCTGTGCTCAAGGGTTTCTCCGTTGCAAATGATTCTAAGATTCTTGTTCCTTCGTCCAACACACATAACCTTGCTTTTGGAGGGATTGATCTGCATGCTTCTGAGTTGCAGTTCTTGCCACTCATCCACAGCAACCTGGAGTGATTCAGCAGTATTCGCAACCAATACCACATCATCTGCGTACAATGCCTGTGTCAACACTAGGGTCATATTCCAGTATCTCACTATTGCTCTATATGTTATACCACCTATTTTAATTTCACTTCTCTACATACGAAAATATTAATTTCTACTCAAAGTAGAATAGAAAATGAAAGTTATGTGAAGCATGTATCATACAAGGTTTTTAAAATAAATTAATATGTGTTTCAGCATGTATTATTAACTTAAATGGTATTTAAGTAAAGTAAGTAAGTAGTAAAGTAATTACATTAAATGGTACTTAACAATTTGAAAAGTACATAGATATCTTTTAGTTAGTATAACAAACTTATTTTTACTTTGAGATTTTCATCACATCCTATTATATTTTTTCTTTCGGCCTCAAGAAAAAGCCTCCCTGCTTTGAGCAATGCAATGGCTTCTTCATTTGTATGTCCTAATGAAGCTTCATTTTTCGCAACCGCTAACCATTTAAGAGCAGCATATTGAGGCAGTTCGCTTTTCTCACATTGTGCAGCTGAAATAAGAAAAATAAACTTAAAAATTCATTAAAATTTAATTTACTCAGATCATTCAGACTTGAATTGAAAATATTTTTGTTTTGGTTTTTAAACATACATTTAAACTAAAGAGAAAGTTCTTTTGAGAAGGTTTATTTTAAGCAAAGTTAGGTTTCATTTATGTCAAGTTTATACAGAAATAAAAAAAATATTTTTTTTTTATAAAAAATCATGAATTATTTTAATGAATGCATATGATAACTATGAATACTACCAATACAACAGGTCATTAAGAAATATGTGTCATTTCAATTTTTTAAACATTAAAAATATGAAATTAAAAAAATCAATCTTTAATCATTAATTTTTTCAATAGCAACCATAAAATTTATTCAAATCTAAAAATGTAACTCATTTTGTAGTTCACTTAACGTCTTTAGGTACTCCAACTAGGGCAAGAGTCATAGGGTCAAGATTCATTATGCCGAAGCACTACAAAATAAATTTCAATTTTCCTAGATCAGATTTGTACCTGTGGCACTATTAATATGAGATTACGATGGTGATACCTTAATATTCTTGGATGCCATGGCCTCTAACAAGTAATTTAAAACATGAAGGTACCACAACAAAAGAAAAGTATTTAGTCAACAATTTTGAAGGGTTACAAAATCTCAAGATCCCACAATATGTTGTGGGAACATATACTGAAAATGGACATGTTTAAAGTAGATAGAAGGGGAGAAACTGTAAGTTTCCCCAGACTCAACTCAACTGAATACCCTGTCAGGGAACGGAAGTCAAAACAAAGCAGGGATGTTTTAAAATCTAATTAAGGCCCTGATTACAACTGAAAGTACCAGTGGGGAGTTTGTGGAAGTTCTAAATCGCGATCTAAATAAAGAAAGGTTGCACTGTCAACAGTCATTACTGTCTGTTTTCAGAATTCTACTTATAGTGTGATCAAGATATCTTGGACCACCCATTAAAGTTGTACCCAGAATTATAATTAATTAAGATAATTTAAATTATTCTGCTAATTAAATGATATAATTACAGAAATAATAAATATTTATGACCAATGAAATCTTTAAGAATAATATTCTGACATAATAGGAAAAGCCTAAGTATTTCTTGAAACTGTGATCTCTAATGGAAATTTAATAGAGGAATACAAATTTTTGTATTATAACTTTCTGAAGGTGATAAAATAAGTCTTAATTGTATGTCCACTTATCTGTAAATTTGACAAGTTCAAAGATTTCTTAAAATTGTGCTATAAACTTATAAAGAAAAATTCAGTGACTTACCGAATTGATCATTAGGCTCAGAAACATTACTTTTTCTTGAAAATTTCCTGTAAATAACAAAATTTAAATGACTAAAAGTTGGGACATACAAAAGACCATAGAAGATTAAATAAACAATAGTTCTAACTTCTTAAGTTTACTAGAAATGGCCTTATATTGTGTTAAGAGATCCGAAGAACTTCTGTCTGTCATTTTTTTGTATTGTCAGACAGTTAATGTAAAGAATTGGTTGGTGTAACTTTTCAAACCAAAATGTAACCTCCGTAACCTTCTACTGAGGTTTCAACAGCCTACCAAAGAGATGTAATAAGAAAAGAAGTATTTATGAAAATAATTCTATATTTAAAATTTTGAATCATGAAGATTAAAACTATCTAATTTATAAAATACTGTGACAACAGGGACAAGATAAAAATTTATAAAATCAAAGTGTTATTATTAAAGTTTCTAATAAGAACCCCACAATACTTAACAAAATTATTAAATTTATGAATCTTATTTGATCACAACATTGATCCCAACATTTAATAATGATTAATACTTAAAATATTGACTAAATTAAAAAAAAATGTTTGATACCATGATCTTTCATCGGCCTAAATGATAATTTTTAGACTTTTCAACATAGGTTGCAAATATTATTTTTTAATAATATAAATCCTTAATGTTTTATAAGTTTCAGAATAATGAGAATACATTATAAAATCGATTTTCGTTCTCATATTTGTCTGAATAATCAATTATTTCCTAAAAAGTAAAAGTACAAACCGATAATAAATTTGATAAACGTTATCTACATTAAATTAATATTTAAACATCATATAGTCCATTGAAGGTTCTACTCTAAACATTATAATAATTAGAATATTACAGAATTAGTTTTATTTAGGTATAGATTTGAAATCGAAATCACTCCAGTTGTGAGAATCTAACGCACTTAAATGTAAATTATAAAGTAATTGAAACAAATATTTCAAAGAATACAAGTTAAAAATAAAATAACTAGTACGAAACGATGAAATTAAACATAAAGAATGTAAATATATACCTAATGTTAAATAAGATGCATAACATGACTGATATAGTGTCTACGCGTGTATTATTTTCAATATGTTTTTAAAAATATTGAGTATCGAAAAAAATATTTAGTTTTATGTCTTGCATAGTTTACGAAAGCGCTTATAAAGTATTTCATGATTTTTTCTCACTATGGAGAATAGATTTTCTGCTTCCTTCGCGGTCCATTATCTTGTATACTCCAATACTTCAGCGTTTCTCGATCAGCCGTGATCGTCTAGTGGTTAGGACATTGCGTTGTGGCCGCAATAACCCAGGTTCGAATCCTGGTCACGGCACGAGATTTTTTTAAATATAATTTTTAATAAAATAATTTAATATTTTTTCTCAGAAATTAGTTTAAAATTAATTAATTATATATATATATATATATATATATATATATATATATATATATATATATATATATATATATATATATATATATATATATATATATTTTACTATTTTAGAGATTTAAAATTATTAAATAAATATTTACACTATACCTACAATTCATTATTTTTATATTGCCGTTACTGTGTCAAGGTCCAGATAATAAAATTGCTGATAAGAGAACTATCAGGACCTCTTTTTAAGAGATTATAATTCATCTTAACATCTTCAACTCTTTATTTTTACTATGGATGGAATAAAATAATTAACGATCAATTTAAGTTATCTGAGCTACCTCATTCCAAAATTTAGCGCACCTAATACGACTCTTCATTGTCATATATTTCCGACAAATTCATGATTACAGAAATACTACGCGATGTAAATATTAAAAAAATCGTAATATGTCTTCTTTTTAAACACACTACTGTTACTGGTACTGGTGTTGAAAAGTAGTCCGTAAATAGGTTACCCTGACGGCTAATTTCAGATTACCGCTGCACATTTACCAGATTGGAAATTTCAATATTTATTTTTCGGGATCACCGAGTATTAATATTAATTAATGAATAATTAACATATTTTCTTATTGTAAAAACAATAATCACTTAGGTAAATATAAAGAAAAAGTACATTTAAAAAAATTATACTTAGAAGAATTACTGTCCCTTTGATACTCTTTTTTTCTTTGAGGACCAATTAAAGATAAACCTACTCTGTTACTTTATTTTTTTCGGAGTAATTAACGTTATAACAAATAAAACAAAAGTAAGTTCCTCTTCTAAAAAAAAAAAAAACTAATTAAATCCTGAAGTTTCAACTGATATCGGTTAAATTCCAAAACAACGTTGAGCACATCGAAAACACAGAAAATCCATTAGACTGTTTCTGAAATCATCGGTGGATTATGTAATTATCATGTAATGATTATGTGATTATCACCGATGGATCATATGCCAATTGTCAAAACTTAAAAAAATAAGTAAATTTAAAAATATGTAATCAGAACTTTAACTAAAACATTTAATTAATAACATCTTATTTTATCATGTTATGACTTCATATCTGAGTAGTTTATTCTTAAAATGAATCCTCATTATCATTGACAAATTTTCAGAGAACTTTATTTTCTATTCCAGTTGTAATATAAATATCAATTTTTTAAAAAATAAATTAAGAAATTCTGTATTTGTAGCCCATATTTCCGAAAATCTTGATTAATTTAATAGTGATTAAAAGCCGTTCTAAACAGGATCGTTTTTTTTAAAGAAAGAAATAAGCTTCAAGTCTCTTTTTGGAACAAAATAAGTGTTAATTGAGGTTCGATTTGGAAAGAACAAATATTATTCGACTTGTGGAGAAAAAATGATTAAAATTGTGCAAAAAAAAATTGAAATTCTTGTTCATAATAATGGTAACGTAAAATAAATTTCATAACAATTTTCATTCAAACAAGATAAAAATGCTTTTGATGATTGATTTTTTTATATATTAATTTTTAAATACTTATTTTTTTATAAAAATGCAAGTTTATTACCTTTCTTGAAAAAAAGAACAACTGGTTTTGAAAAACGAAAAATTTCGCACCACTTTTAAAAATATTTAGGTTAAGAAAGACAAAATTGTGACACTGAATTCATTGCTTACTTTTATACAGGAATCGATACAACTCGATTTACAAAAAATCGATTAGGGTTCATTTTGGAAATAAGTGGAAGACTTATAAAATCTGATTATTAGTATATAACATCTGCCTAATATATATAAGTAAATAAATAATAATGAAATAACTAAAAAAACAATTGAAATTATTGGAGTTAAAAAGAATCATATTAATCTGAATAAATATACATTTTTTTCTTTCGCGGTTTTAAGCTTCGCTGTGGCTCCAACTCTCGACCAATCAGGTGACACATTACATGTTATAGTCAAATCAGCTTCTCTATAGAACACAATTCTCGATCTTAGTTCGTTTAATTATGCGGTTTCATTCGGGATGTGTCGATTGGTTAATTTTATTTTAAATATATGAAAAGTATTGTGATTGTGATAGTGTTTATTTATTTAAGTTATTTTAGTGTTCTGTTATTATTTAATTTCGTTTCGTAGTCTGAGTGTTTTAAAGAAAATAGTGAATTTCAAGAAACGAAGCCATACTGAAATCTTCTGCTGTAAGTTATGAATTTTATGTAATGCATGACAAGTCTTATTTTCCAGATATCATTCTTTTTCAGATATTCCTTTCTAGAACTCACTTTATTATATTCTTCTTATTATAACACAATTTTTACGTCCAACAGCTGTTATTGAGTCATCAATTATATAATGTATAAATTGTTCAATATTGGTAATTTAATTAATGATTTTCTGTTAAGCCTTATATAAAGTTTTAAATAACAAATGTATGTAATAGTACAAAATTTCATAAATTAAGATTCGACCAGAATAGATATTCTGTAATCAGTGAATTTATCTGTGTTCATATTTTTATCGTTGATTGATTGCTTTGATAAGTTTATTTAAATCTTTTTTGAAATATGTTATTTTATAGAAAATATAACATTATTCTTTTATGAATAACCTATGTCCTTCATTAGATATTTTTATTAATAATCTTCAATTATTCAGGCCATAATATTTTTCTTTTTTTTATACTAATCAGAAGGAGTGAAAAATTAAGCTTTCAAGATCGTATTAAAGAAAAATTAATTTTCAATAAAAAAAATTTCACAGGTTTTATACAATGTTTAAATAAAATAGCTTATATTTGAAGTGAAATTAAAAATCCGCCAAACTCGATGTTCAATTAATATAACGACGTTATGAATATTCTGTAGGCTGTGGCATTTTCACTAATTCAGAATCGTTTCTCTGTTTTTAATTATTTAAGATAATGAAAATATTCTTTCTAAATGTCATATTATAGATGTTAGGTTCTTAACTGTAAAAAACAAAATATAATATTCAGTATTAGTTATGAATATTTCAAAATACAATTTGTTTACTAATATCGACTGATATATTTTCACTACATCTTAGGAAGATACTTCCAAATTTAAAGTTAAAGCTATTCGAAACTTTCCATTTAAAACGGAATGTACAAAATTTATCCCGAGACTCCTTATTCAATGTATCTTTTTTTGCTTGATTCAATTACTTTGGCTGTTTAAGGAAGGAGATCTCTCATCCAGCACCTGTTTGTTCTCCTCATGTTCAGATGTATATTAGTTGTTGCAGCCACTAGCGGATCCAGGATTTAATTTTTTTGGGGGGGGGAGGGAGGATGTGGGCTTCAGTCTGAAAGCTTTTTTGTCATATATATAACAATGAAAAAAATAAAAATATTAACTACCTATATGAAATATTGTTAAAGTAATTCTTGAAGTCCTATTAAATGTAATTGCACGAAAAATAATACTTTAAGAAACAATTTTTTAATATTTTTTTTCCATAAAACTTGGTTACATTGTACGCGTAGATCCGACTGTGGTTATGACATGATACAGGACTCCTTTTTATCAAATTATTAACATTCGTATAAAACTTCGTAAATAGCTTCATCTCATCGCAACCTAAAACTTTTTGATTTATGAAAATTCTCGGAATTGGGGCGTTTTCAATCTGAAGATTGGCAAATTTTGTCTATTTATTTATTTATTTTTTAAAAATTGTCTTTATTGAGATATATTACAATCTGTCACATTCAAGGACAATAGTAATAGTGATATAGAATAGCTCATTCATACTTCTATTTAATTAGGCACTAAAAATTCATGAATACCCATTTGCTTTTTACTTGAATCGTAAGACAA